CCCCGCGCCTTTCTTTATAATTATGTATTAAATTTTCTATAGAACGATGATGAACAATGTAAAAGTTGGTCATCATTGAATCAATATTTTAAATCAATACATGTACACAAACATGTGCTGTTGTTTTTTCATCATCATTATCAAAATAAACAAATTATTATTTGAAATAAGAATCAAATTTTTGAAAATATTCAAAAAGAAAAATATATTTTAAATGAAAATGTATCTAACTTTTCTTGTATTAAAGATTAATGATCGTTTGAATTTTTACTTGAAAAATGAAACTTTGTATAAAATCTGTATTTAGAATGTAAATCTTCTTTTTCTATTGTAATGTTTTTAATATCAATGAATGCTCATATCAATAGTCATTTTGTCAAATATTATCACTGACATCATCTATGTATCTCAAATGCAGTTGAAGTTTTGTTATTTTGTAAATAAAATAAATAATAGTCAAATAATTGTAAAAATTGATATTTACTAGTTGAGACTTGACGAGAAGTTTTAATTTTGTTCGCCGCTCTGAAGTTTTTATTTTTATTTTCTCATTATAAAAAACGATCAGATCATCTTATCTTATGTCAGTATCGTATCAAACAAAATATAGGGTGTCGAGTAAGTTATTAGCCAAACCAAAATTTGAATATCTCCACCCTGCTTTGACCAAATGAGCTGATTTTTACCGCTGATAGAGGGCTGTTCCTAGTCTATGTTCATAATAAAAGCGTTGACAAAAACTGTTCCGAAATATTATTATTGACTCCAATAAAGAAATATCATCTTATGAGAATTCTGAAAAGATTCCAATTACAGTGTGTTCTAAAAGTTACCACGACGAATAAATTTGAATAAGTTTATCAGATTCTAGCCAAAGTAGACTAATTCTTTTTAAAGCATAGAGGCATACTCCCGGTTAAATTCGTATCAAATAGTGAGATGTCTTACAACTTAAAGTTGTCCTAAACGTAAATAATATTTTTCGAAATCCGTAAGGGAACATTTTTTATTGATTTCGAAAGTGATATTTCAAAATAGTTTCTGTCAACGTTATTCTTATGAATATGAACTAGAAATAGTCCTCTATCAGCGGTAAAAAAAGTCACCTTATATGGTCAAAGCAGAGTTGACATATTCAAATCTTTCTTTGGCTAATGACTTACTGGATACCCTATATAATTTTTGTATATGAAATCAACTAAATTATCATTGGTTTTGTTAATGAGCGAACAGATCGTCGCAAACTATTCCTCCCGGGCATTTTGTTGCATTGAGATAATCCAATAATAGTTTATATATATGTGTTTGCTGATGAAAAAAAACCATCAAATTAAGTTTAAGTAATAGAGTTCAATGACTAACGATTTTATTAGGTAATCTTAATGACCAGCTTCTACATTATAAACGTCAAATTGTGTTTTACAATAGATTCTAGTAGAAGAAAAATTTTAAATCTTTTTCTTTCTAACGATCAGCAAAGACGCAACCCAAAAAGTCTTATGACATTGTGTTCAAAAGTGGTCTTGGTGGTGCTAAGCCATCAACTGGATTTAGTTAATTTAATTTTAAGTGTATAAAGTAATCAATTATGAATATTTAATCAACAGAATTTCGGAATTATTTATTCACTGTTTCAATCGAATTATGTGTTAAAATTTAATTTTAAATATATAGTATTTATAATACTAATTCGTACAAATAAAAATTAAAACTTATTCTAAATTATCCAAAGATATTTTAACATGAATATATCCAAAGATTTGTACATTTATAAAATTTTATTCTTTTTCATCACACAAATACATTTCGTCTAATATGAAAAGATCATTGATCGAACACTTGTTGTTTCAGTTGTCTTGACACTAGTTGTTGGCACACAAGAATGATATGAACATGGATGATGTCGAAATATGTTCAGTGCATGTTGCATTGTCACGCTGCATACGACAACAATTAAATGACATTCACTGCCAGCACATGATTCTTGTGGACAATTCACATTATTAGAACGTTTTAATAAAATTTCGATATTATCTTTATCTAAATAATAAACTACAGAATAAATAACAGAATTAAATGACTCGACAATAACTAGTTGTTGATCATAAGTATCAAATATAAGTGAAGATATAAGAAGAATTTGAGAGGGTGTGAGTGTAGTTGAAGGCAAAACTCACATGCGCACCCACACCCATAACACAATGGGAAAAATAAGCTTTGTAAACAGTAGAAAAACGAATTTCAATCATTTTTTATGCTTGTAAAACTTTGCAAAAAATACAATGAGTTTTATAAAAAAAAAAATTTGTTGACTTGGCTACTATAGAAGAAAATTGTCCTTCGATTTCTTCTACAAAATTAAACAGTAAAACTCTTTTAGGAAAAGAACTTTTCTTGACATAATGCATTAAAGACGAAAACACCTGAAAATATTGCAAGCGTCGCTTTTTTTGGATTTGCCAATTTATGAAAGAATACCGAACGGTAGCTTTTGGCGCTCGAAATTCGTGGTAAAAATCTAGATTATGATTGAAAAATAACGTCTTGAGTAATTACGAAGTTAGTTCAATAAGGCTGCTTCGATTTAAGATCATTAACATTTTCGAAACTTCGGCAAACGAAAAAGTGACATAAAGTGTTCTTTTGAATTATGCCTACGATTGATTTCATGTGGAGCATGCCAGTGATTTGTCGATGGAGTATAGCTCACGGCAAAATTCCAAAAGAAGTGGCGTCCACATTTGCTGCAAATCATATGATTACAACCGTCGCTCTTCTCAATTCTGCAGTGGCACCTGGGACAGTTTTTCGTATGTGTTTTTAACCATTTGCGTGTCAACTCATCAGCAGATGGGTACAAGCGCTTATATTGATTACAGGTCATACCTTCGTGCCACTTAACATGATGAAAGGCACAGGTATCTTTTTTGCATGCGATACAAGTCATTTTCGAATTCCAAATTGATATTGTATTATCATATTGACCGGAACCACATTCATGAGCACACCAAAAAAAATTATCTTGGTTATCCAGGAATCGTCTGATCAGATAAGCATCGTACTTTTTCAACAGTAAATGATCATTATTAACAAAGAGTATTCGACGAATTTCTTCTGAACTCAACTTTACCGGACAGCTTGTCTCAGGACAGGATATTTGACTACTGATAGCATTATCGAGAGTAACTTTGACACTGTAGTATGTACATGAATTGCAAATGTAGCGATATATGTGCTGACATGTTTTACTGTACGTAGGATAAAACTCTTGTTCAGGTCGCGCGACCAAACAGACAGCACACTCGCGTGTCGGTATAGAAGTCTTACTACAATTGAGAATATTCAAATATAAAATTTCAATTCTTTTGAAGATGGAATAATTAATGACGATAACAAGGTAGAAAACATTTGACCACTACAAAAGCGTTCGAGAAACATTTTACTTGGAAGAATTCATGATCAACCATGCTACAATTTTGCAAAGTGATCTGTGTGATTTTCATATTTCTACATGGGTGATTGACTGATTCCAAGAGAATATGTTTTTTCACGTTCTAAGTCGGTATGTCTACGAGTACTAGTGCATAGAGATCGTATATGCTGAAACGTTGCAAAATCTCGAAATATATGTATTTAATATTTCTAAAGTCTTGTTTTTTTGAACATTTTATTTTTGATGCTTTCATTTTTTTTTGTAACTAAGTGTGACTGAATGAAGTAATTCACTGTCGAGTGATCGAATTACGTTTGCAAACTTTTCTATATGAATAGCTTCTTATTTACAAGCAAAACTATACAATTGAAACAACTTTTGTATGGTGAGTTATTTTCGTTGGTATAAAAGATCCAATTTTGAACGAAATCAATGACTCTTAATGCAAATTGATCAATTAATTTTGGTCAGAGTAACTCGATCACTGTTCTCCTTTTTTCAGCTAAAGCTTCTTATTATTCTTCTTTCATGTTACCGCTTTAATAGAGAGATTCTGTCACTATATAATACTCATTGGAAATTTAGACAAACATGATTATTCGTAGTTGTCAAAATGAATCACAACGATGTGTTAACTATAGATTATTTCGCAAGCTTACCTTTCTTCGGCAGATACAGTTTCTTTCGCCACCACCACATTCGCTTCATACGATGTGTTTCGATTATGTTTCGTGTCACTCTGCAAAGTATGAGCTTTGATATGTCGCAAAGAAATTTGATTAAAATTACGTGTTGATAGTTATCGTAGTTCTGTGGATAAGATTCATTAAGGTTGATTGAACGATCGTTGCCGGAGTCAACTTGATGTATCATGCAAATATTGGCCTGACATTCATTGTCTATAATAAAAATGAGTGAATTCAAATTTTTTGTCATACGACTTGTATGTAGTCCTTTAGATATTGAAAATAGACTTTGCTCTTGACAAATTTTCTCATTATACAACCGAATTCAGATCTGATGAACATGATAAATAAACAACTACTTATAGAAACCATAGCATAAGAATAAGAATGAACAAATGTTTAAGTTCGAACACTTGACACAACAGAAAAATGAGTAAATCGGATCGAGAGTTCGAGCTTCTTCGCATTGAGTATGTTAATAATCTTAGTCTCATAATGAAAATGCTTCTTTATTTTTTTTCAGTCGATCTCAATGTTGGTAATATTCTATCTTTGACAATATGCTTTTGATGTCTATCAGTATCCACAGTACCTATCCTGCATCATACTGCTGATTGGTAAAAGTTATCTTTGTCGACAGATACTTGCTTTTCTAAGTTCTACTTGAATGAAAATGTTAATTTTCAAAGAAATTTGATTTTATCGCGAATTTTCAGGATCATTTATAAAGATATTCACTACGATTGGTGCCATAGAAATCCCTTGAAAAATCCAGTTTTTCTTTCAATCTTCATTGTACTGCATAGATAATTATTCAATAGTCATTGAAAACAGATACTAGCAATCCTTTGTTTCTGACAAAAAACTAACTGTCGATACTTATGAAATCATTTTTGAGAAAAAAAAGAAGATGATTCACTGCTCTTATTTAATCTATTGTATATCTTATAGCCATGAGATTATTTTACACGTAATTTACAGATGTTTCTTCAGACGAAAAAGAAAATTAGATTACTATCAAAATAATCATCAGTTTCATAATCGTTGATATCAATCCATTCTTTAGCCTGACTCATATTCGCAATCAATCGTTGAAGTATGTTCGATTTTAATGTAATTTGATGAATTTCGCAATGAATCTTAGAACAATTGATCTACTAAACATGGATAAACCTCATAAAAGATCAGAAGTTTAAAGAGAAAAGATACAAGAGCTGTCAATTAAAAAACCACAAAGCGTATCGGAGAATGAAGCTTATTCATAAAATGTGAATTCTAGCGAAAAAAGAAATGAGATCAGAATATTCAATCTCTTTGTTCTTTTGCAGAAAAGTACTGGTTTGGTCTATTATTCTTCATTTTAGTACAGGTATCTTAGCTAAATGCATATTCTAAATATCAAGTAAAATCGAACCCTGACAAGTAACATCACACATTTTATGTTTTTCAGTCGATTAATGAGAATGAATATTTCTCAAAATTTTGTTCAATGATTACATATGATTCACTTACTGTCTGTTTGGGGTCGTGCATCCACAGTATTGGATGGTTCTGAAACATGTAAATATGAAAATAAATAAACTGTTGATTTTTTTTTTCTTACGGATGGGTGATAATGCTTGAACGCGATGTCGTGTTGTGCGTTTTCTTCTATTCACTGATGAATACTGATGATCGGTAAACGAAGGGTGTGACTGCATTTCTTCGTATGAACTAAAATCATTTGTATCAATACCTTGACGTGCTGGTACTTGTCGATGATATACTTCCGCATTTTGTCTTGTATAATCTACGATTGAAAATGAATCCTACTTTTTTCTTAAAACTAGCAGTCAAATAAAAACCTGTTGGAATAGTTGCTATTGTTCTTGATCTGATATCAATGAAAACTGGATCATCTTCATAATTCTTTTTAAATTTCACGCTCGATACATATGGCTGAACACTATGCAGATAATCTTGTTCAGCAAGATTCAGTACATGTCGAATATCAATTAGTTTCATATTACTGAAATCATTATCTGCTATTATTGACATATGTTGTGGAGAATATCTTTCTGATGCTTCATTGAACAATACTTTTGAAGGATATTGTACTTGAAGAGCAAGATTATGGTTAAAAGCATCTGATTCATCAAGTGTTATTTGTGTGTATGTTCCTTGACCATATGCTTGTTCTTGTGGTGGAATGACATATTTGAAACTGTCATGAGACACAGAGTTTTGATAGTTTTTTAATGAATATTGACCATGATTGTATGAATGAGGTATTTGTCTCGATGTGCCCTGTGTCATCACAGGTGAATAATTATTTGAAACTATTGATGATGGTTGTTCACGCCTTGTTCTATTATTAACTTGAGTTTTCGATTTCCGATTATTCGATTCATTCTGTGTCGTAGAACTAAACGGTTAAAAAGACTTATTTTTCAATTTTTTTTGAAAGAAATTAATCCTTACAAAGATGTTTTCCTTGTTTTATGTCTAGTAACATTTCTCTGGTATCCTTGATCATTTCTGTCTTGATCGTATGACGATTGCTGGGCTTGCTGATTTTCCAACGATGAAGGATTTACTTGAGTATTAAATTTACGTACAAGTTCGGCGACACTCATCCTATCTATAATAAAATTCGGCTACTATTTAAGTGGTCAGTAGAATAAATGAAATGGTCAGTAAAATAACTAAATGGTCAGTAAAAAATGAATGATCAGTAAATTGAATGAACGATCAGTTAATTATTTAAACGGTCAGTTATTGAAATGATTAAGTTTGTTGATATATTTAAAAATTAGTAAATTAAATTAAATGGTAAGTATAAAAATCGAAATGTGTATGAGGCAGAGATAGACATAATAAAGTGGTATTAAAATACCTTCAAATCGACATAATTATAACGATGTGAANCCTATCTGTGAAAAAGTAAAATTTTCTTGTTGAGGTCAATAGTGATACTTTGCAAAGGTTCCCACTAACCTTGTCCGTATGGATTTGAAATGTGAACATGCCTCTATCCTTGGTAAAAAAAATGAGCCCGTTTGGTCGAGTTGTAATGAAGATATTCAACTTTTTCTTTGTGGAGTTACTTACTGGACACCCTATATTATCTTGTTAGCATGCTTCAATACATCAGATTCTCACTCAGAGATATATGATCTGATGTATGTCACGAAAGATACGGATAATGTTGAAGATTGAAAAGGAAACATTGACATTTATCCAAAGATAACTTTTAATTTACAAATACAAAAAAAATCAATACTTTCTATAAAAATACTTATACAAGGAAACAAAAATGAAAGACGGTTATGATCGATATTATTCGTAAAATTTGTTTAGAAAGAGTGATCAAGTATGTATGTTATAGCGCACTAGTCATGAAATAGGTAAGTTATAAACATATTCGAGTTTTTATTAAGAATAAAACAACTTACATTCTTTGGCGACTTATACAAGAAGTCAATAATGAAAAAAGAGAAGATAGACAAAAATTTGAGCAATATATTATGATAGTAATAAGCCAATATGCAATAATTTTTTCTTCTCAAATATAATCTCTTTGAATTAGTTGAAAATATGAAACGTTCAATATTCAAGCTATGAATCACTAGAAATTCTGTTAAGAAGTTTAATAAAAACTTTATGTCTAATCGTTGATTGGAAAAATTTTAGCAAAGTTTTGATGTCTGTATCATGTCATTTATAACTTTTCCAATGTGCTCAAGAATTATTCTTCATCAAAATAAATTTGTTTTATCCATTTGTACTTTATCATGTTCATTATTCAAATGCATTCTTCTGTGTTATAGTTGTATAGTTATGTCGAGAACAGCCCTATTTAAGCGATATAGTTGTCGGTTTGATATTATGAAATCTTAGTCTATATGCTAGAAAATTTTTATTTTATAAAAAGACGTTTTTTTTTTTCAAAATGCGAATCCAAATACTCATTTAAATTGTTTATAAAATGATTCATTTTTTTCAACAAAAACGAATAATAAATAGTGTACTTTTGAGGGTGTAAGTGTCTGTGTGGGTTTCGGTAGAAAGAAGATCCACTTCTCACACTCACACCCGCACTTAGGAATTCATTATAAAGCAGTGATTATCGGGTCAACGTTATCAGTTGCCCGTAACGGAAGCTGTTTGTTTATGTTCACATGGGACCTTGTAGGAGATACATTTGAAGAAATTATTTTAGAATGTCTCTTCCATCTTCTAGCTCGCCATGTTGAATCATCGTCTCTTAGAATCGACATGTCGATAGGTTTGCAAGAGCTAGCAGAAATGTCTGATAATGTTGAATCTTCAATGACATATATAAACGAATCCCATGCGATATTGCTCGACACTGCAGTGTCAACATTGATCTTCTCAAATATATGATCGACTTCATCTTTCAACTGTTCTAATCGGTTTCTTAGATAATCGGTTTCATTTTTCAAATAGTTGCATTGTTTATTTTGCTGTCGAATATCGACCGAGAGCTGGTCGAGTTGAACACGAATTTCACCAGTTCTATTTTTTAGTATTTCACGAACATTGTATCGTGTCTGTCCAGCTATGTCTCGAACACGCTGCAGCATCATCTGTTCCCATCGATCGATCTCAATCATGCATGGTATTGTCTTCTCGCTTTGCGATGGGGATGTTACTGAGTCAAGTCTCGTTTTGATCGCATTGCGAATGTCTTTCAGTGGTTGAATATATTTCAGTAGTTGGCTCCGATGTTTCTCCATACATGTAGAGCAAAGTAAACTTTGACAAGCATCACAACGCGCACTGTCAATTTGTTCTTTGCATAATGAACATTTCATTGTGACTACAGTTGGTGTAGATTCAACGACCTAGAATGAAACTAAACGGCTAATGATGATGAGTTTATCAATAATAATCCTACATTTGTCATAGAACTGTTGTCTGAAGATTTGTGTTCAAAAACGAGATTGACCGCAGGATTAGTAGTATTCTTACTGCTTGGTTCCTTAATGGTGTCGGAATGTGATGACGAAGGTATCGTAGTTTGCGTTCGTGGCGATGCAGATGGGTCTATTCTAGGGGATCGTTGAATAGAGGTAGAGCGATGTTGCTGCTTTTGTTTTTCTTCACGCTCTTCTGCAACTGTTTTCATTTGCATTTCCTTTTTTCGTGTTTCATAAAAGTCGACCATATATCTTTGATACAACATGAAAAAGTTTTTACGTGGCTCAAGATTTGTGGTGCCAAGCTGAGCACAATCAATCGGTATATCCATGAGAGTTCTGTCTTTACGAAGATAGATTGTTTTCACTTGTAGATAATCATGAAGCAACTGTTTCGTTTGTTCTGGTGCGATGTCATTTTTCAGGAAATGAACAGGCAAGAGATTCTGTCGGTGTGCTTCATCAATTGATTGATAAAGTGGAATTAAGTTTTCAAGCTCGTATTTACGCTTGGTTGTTGGCGAAATTCGATATTCTTCATCGCTCATTTGTAATGGACAAAAATGCGACTGGTCATAGGCCAAGACAATAGGTTCACGAACACATTCGCTCGATGAACACAAAATCGGTAGATAGATTCCCAGCAAATCATTGATTGAAATTGCTTCACCGTATTTATTTCGAATGACATCTTCGGAAAAGACAATAATAGGTCGTTGAAGCATGTTTGATAGCGAAAAAACGTGTACTGCCTCGAGAAAATGGAGATATTTTTCTGCTTGTTCATTTTCAACATTATCGTATCGAACTAGATCACACAATTCTTGCCATTCCTACAGCAAGAAATGGCATGACAGAAGATGAAAATTAATCTTTCAAACTTACTCTGTCAAGTTCTGTATCTTCCGATCGGACACCGTACATTTGGTCACTTCTCAATCGCTGCATTCGCCAGTGAGCCTTTATTATTTTTTCATTTGTATCCATGAAAGTTTTCAGTCGATCACGTAAATGAAGGTTCAAATCGTGAATACCCACCATGGCCAAAAGTACAGCGTGCAGAAGGCAATTTCCATTACCTAAACATAGATCGTTCATTATCAGGATATGTTGGCCTATTATGAAATCATCTATTTTAAGAAGGGATTCAAAATTTTTATGAAAATCTAGATATCCGCTCATTCTGATTTACTTATTCAAAAAATTGAAAGGACTTCAATAATTCAAATTTTTCGATCCCAAGACACAAAATGTCTCATCCAATAGAAACTTTTTTCTCTAAAAAACCTAGACTATTTTTATTATTTGAATGATATATTGTTTCTGATTTGAGAAAAGAATCAAATCATAGAAAAATAACGATACAGTTTTTTGTCATGAATTTTTTATATGTTGTATTCCTAACCACGGCGCATCGTTTGGTATAATTTCCTTCGAGGAATTTTATTAGAAGGTTACAAAACATTTCTTTACAAAAAACTGAAGATCGTATTATTTTATCCCTTTAGCAATGTAGCATTACTGACTTATTTCGTGAATAATTCCTGAATGTATTCATTGAATTAGTTTGAAATTTAATAATCCAAAACAAAAATATGAAAGCTGATAATTGGCGCCATACTCGATGGATCACTGAGCACTTCTCTCTAAACCACTCAAGAAATTATAGAGCTAAAGTTCTTATCTTGTCAGGTAGCCTTTATGTGAGTCTAATTAATATTATAATATCTGACATGCTTTTTGTTTTGATTTCCTTTTGTCATTGTACATGTTTGTTATTCTTCTTTATACTGTTTGTTAGCAATCACAGATATATCCTATTCCTATTCCCAGGTTACTGAATCTGATCGAATCAGATAGGATCCAATTAGTGGACAAAATCTGATGAAAATCCAAGTGATGAAAGCATTCATGGATTCGACGGTTGTATTCTGACATACATCTGATGAAATTCAACATTCTACTTTCGATAGAAGAATCAGTTAACTCAGCATTACAATATGATTCTTGTGCAGGTTTGATAAAATGCATTATATTAAATGAAGCTTTATTTATATTTAATCATAAATCTTTTTATTGGTTACTATTATATTTTACTATATCATTATTTCATTGCGTTTCACAAATAAGTAACCATATGCAAACACTCAACCTGTAAGTCTAATAATATCTATATCAGTGTCAATTGATAAAATATGACACTAAGTTCTATAATTTCTTCAGTTGTTTATGGAGAAATATTCAATGATACATCGAATATAACACGACTCATCAATGTTCATATCACTTGTCGAATTGTATCATTTCAAACTATCTAAATGATCCTACTGTTCAATTATTCTCAAAATAATTCAGTGCTGCTATATTGCTAAAAGAATGAAACAATACCGTCTTCAATCTTTTATGAAGTAAATTTTTAAAACCTGCTCGTAAAACTTCTGCAGAAAAAGTATGTCAAACGGATTCGATCAGTAGATTTTTGTTTTCAAGTCCATACCATTTTCCTGAGTTTTCATATAAGAAACAGTAGATTGATGCTGTTTCAAGCGAATAATACGCAATATTCTGTGAAAAGCATCGTTTTCAGATGTTGTCACCATGAAATATGTAAAATATACAATTACCGACGAAAAGAAGACATGCATGTGCGCCTATATCCATGTCCCACACAGCAATCTTTTTGCTATGATAAGTTTTATAATAGAATGATATTTTCGTAGAAACTAGTTTTCATTCGTCAACTTTTGAAAGATGTACTCAGTTTATGAAATTCTCATCTTTTAAGCATCACTTATACCATTTTTCTCGGGTTCATCTATATATGACTTTTATGAGTCATTTTATTCTATAAAATTTACTTTCTATTGTAGTTTTTCTTTTAAAAAACTAAATGATCTTTGAATATATATGAATAGATCAAATATATAAAAGATGACTAGAGCGTGAAAATAGAAAAACAAGTAGCTTGTTCAGAAGAGAATATTAAAACATAAATAGTAAGTAACGTGTGAAAAGAATAAAGCATTTTTTTTTCTGTACCCACTCATACAATTATCGGAGAAGAAGGTTTTTTTCAACATGGTCAAAACTCCCTCAAAGAATCCGGAGAGATTAACCTTTTTGAAATTATGAATGGGGTGTCGATGAAGAAAGAGTTCATTCCTCACTAACCATCCTCAACTTATCCGCAAACTGTGCAATCACCAATACTTTTGAGGACAAGATGAATCAGTAAGCAAAAGATGAACTTTGAATAACTGATTTTGCTCAGTTTTAGATGCTCCCTCTCTTGATTTAATGTTTTTCATAGAACTTGAAGAGCACTCAAGACTTGATTCCAACTCATCATTTAGCAACTCAATAAAGGATATAAAAACTTCGAAGGTAGAAATTATCTACATTGTTGCTTAAGATCTACATGTCTATTAAATAGGTAAATTTGATCAGTACATCAATTTCTAATGTGACACTTGACAGAACTATGGATTTCATCTTAATATTTTCTTACCAGATGTTCGCACCGGATACACTCGTTTTAGTGAGTTCACATAATTGATTACTTTTGCATCTTCCATAGTTCCTAATATTGTACTATCGATCAAAAATTGATGAATAGGCATATCAGAATTGTTCCATATAAAATCCGACGGAATCGTTGATGTAAACTTGTTTAACTTCAAGAGGCCTTCAATAATATTTTTGCTCAGAGTATTAACTAGTTTGTTAGCTTCAATTTTAAAATATTCAGGAACGGATGAATTATCTTTGCTTTGTGTTTTCTCATTTATTTTTGTGTTTGATTCACAACAATGGTTTTGGAACGAAGATAATGTGTATGGACGTTTAGTGCGAATGCGTTTGGTCGGAAGAATACTGGCATCAGTACGAATTGAATTATCTATTTCAATGGTCTTTTGAGTCATCAGAAGAAAATAAAATGTGTTTGTATTATGAATACAAGTAAAAGCGCACTACCTATGTAGCTGGATGAAAACAACCAAATATTTACACAGGTCAGCAATGATTCATTCTAATGCAGTCATATTGAGAATTCGACCAACCCGATACTTTTGGTATCGGAGCGACTATACTCTTTAGAATTCTGAGAAAAATCCGTTGACTTTCGTCAATTTTTATTGCTTCATTTAAAACGCTCACGTCAAGATTGATTGACATCTTTCCTATAACATAGTATAATTAAATTTCTACATAATATTTAATGGCTATTTACTTGGATGTCGCTGTCGAACACAAGCTTTCATCTGAAATATGACATATGATTGCATTAAAGAGATCGTTCCCGATCGCAAAAATTTTCTATCATTCTTCAATATGTTATTGTGGTTGTGTTCTTTTCCTTAACTCGCACGCTCACATCCTTTGGGATAGGTCTGAATTCTTGTGAGCCTTTCATAAAAATGATTATATACGGATAAAATCAATATTTTAAAAATTTTCTTTTTTCAACACCAAAAAATGTTATAATAATTTTCTAGCTATAGAAATAAAATCTTAAATTATATGGAGGGGCAATCTTAAAGTATTTTCTTTATTGTTACAGACGACGGCCCATACTCTTAAAAGTGAAGTTTAATGTATACTTTTTCGAATTACTAAATAGAAAAACTCTAAGTTTATATAACCAACTTAAAAAGCTTTATTGTCTTATTTCTAACAAGACAACTTTATTTAAGCAAGCCTCTTTTCTGAATCGCATATTAATATGTGTGATCGTTCTAATTTCGATACTTGTCAATTGAATAAAACAATTTTCTACTCGATTCTAATACATTTATTTTATAGAAATTAATTTTATTTTAATAATGATCAAAATACATAAATATGTATTTGAAGCAAATAGTCTTAGAAAACTTTTGAACAATTAATTCATGTTGCATCTCTTTTAAAATTCTGTATCATTATTTTCATTGTTTGATAATTGATATAGAGACAAACATTATATGGTAAACACATGTTAGTATCAAGTAAAAATTGTTTAATATAATCTTCGTGAGTTTGACTCAGACAAAGTTCAGTAAAGTGAGAATATTCAATAATTGATAAATTTTGATGATGTTTTTTTTTTATCTTTCATATTGTTTATTATTTTGTCGTTGTCAATTCATTGAAATTAATTTTTCCAACAATGGAATCGATTGAGCAATCCGAAGAACAAAAAACATGTTTAACCCTTTGAGTCCCAGTGGGATATATACATCCCACCTAAAGAAAACTTCTAATTTTCAAAACATTTCACGCGTGTTTTGGGGTTTTTAAGAACCAGAAGGAAGCCTTCGAACATATATTTTTAATTAAGAAATATTTGAGCGAGATTTTATAGATATTCATAAGAATAGACAATATCAAAAAATGTATTATGGTAAGTTTATTTATTAATTTCAGAAAGGAGGAGTTCCAAATTATGGACTTGGTATCTCAAAACGCCTCAGTCTATTTTTATTATCATAAGAATTAGCATTCATTCCTAATTATTTTTCACAAGTTTATTTTACGTTTNAATACAACAGACGATTCATATGGTGTTTATAACGGTCTTCTAATAAATAATCCATTGTTTACTACTGCGACTGCAACTAATTTGCCTTATGTAGGAAATGGTCAAGCACTTACCTTTAATTCAGGATCAAGTCAATCATTTGCAGTTTCGAGTCCATTTTTCAACTTAAGTTATACAAGTTTTACCATTGAAGCCTGGATTTATTCTACGTCGCTTACCGGCAATCGTGGAATATTTGGTCAATGTCAATGCTCAATCTGTGCTTATCAATGTTTGTATTTTATTATTCGAAATTATCGCTTGTACATTGATTTCACATCAACTTATTTATCTAGTTCGACGAGTTTATCAGCTTCTAATTGGTATCATATTGCATTTGTTTACAATTATGCAACACGACAGCAAATATTATATGTTAATGGAATTCAAGATGCTATTAAATCAAATGCACAGGCTTATCAAGGACAAAATGGAAGTATCCACATTGGTTCAACTCAAGTTTATTCGACAATGAACTTTTTTCAAGGTTATATTGATAATGTCGCATTAACAACAAGAGCAAAATCTGCAGTTGAAATTTTACGTGATGCATCCTTAATGGCTTACTATTCGTTTGATTTACCAAATCAAAATACTGATAATGGTCCAAATGGATTAGATGGAACATTAAATAATATAGTCACAGCTACTGGATATGTCAATGAAGCAGTGCGTTTTCTTGGATCATCATCATCCTATTTTCGAGCTTATGGTTTTTATCAGCTTCCTTATGGCGTTACTAATGGCAAACCATTTTCAATTGCCATGTGGATAAATCCATCATCAGTCAATAATATCGCAATTATTCAAATGTTTTGGTCACGTGGTAGTTCATCGAATTGTGAAATTTTGGTAGGTATTTCGTCATCTAATGGATTAACAGGACAGTTGTTTGTACATAATACTGCATTAACCGGTTCATTTGTAACACAAAATACGTGGACACGCGTCTCATTGACATATAGTTCAGGTAATGGATACACATTGTATATTAATGGAGTTCTTTTTGGTTCAACTGGCACGGCGTCATACTCGTTGACCGGCCTTTTCGCAAATCTTTGCATAGGTTATCCGCTTAATTGCGGTTCAAGTTCTGTAAATGGATATTATCAGGGTTACATTGATGAACTGTATATTTACAATCGAGAACTATCACAAACAGACGTTACTAGTCTTGCCAATCCGTGAACTATTACTAATATGATAAAGACATTATGCTACATAATTCCGCTTTATTTTCTAAAAATCCTATTTTCCTTCATTATGTTGCGTTTCTTGTAGTTAGAAATAAGTGCATCATATATTTCTTGTATCTTTTTCAAATATCAATAAAATCTTATAACTAAAGATGATATTCAATCTAATCGATGGATATGCTGAAAATGATATGAATATGTCATAGTCTTATAAACTTGATGGAAACAAAAACTTTTAGGTTAGGTCTACATAGTTAATGAAGTGAAATAATTGATGTTTCATATTTGTTCAATCTTCTTCCAAATACAGTTTTCATAGCAAATTTACAGAAAAGCCGTTTCTGCGCGATAATTATCGTTGTCAAAATTGTTCTCTGTAAAAATAAAAGAAAAATAGCAGTAAAGTTATAGTAAACAACTATATTTTTTTGTTAAAATGTTTGTTTGTGGAACTATTATTCATAATAACACAATTAAGATTCTCAATATGAATAAAAAGGAAAAGAAATACTGATATATAAAGTAATTTAGACTTTCTAAAGAAACCGAATATTAGACCAAAGCCATGCGAAGGTGCCATGATTGGAGAGTGAAACGCATACGAAAATATCTTATAGAGGTTGTAAAAAATTCAAGATATCTTAGTAATTTCATTAAGTACTAATGAATAATTTCCAATTCTTCAAGAAATGTACACTCGACGACCAGAGCTGTGATCTTTCGAAAATTTTTGAACTAATTAGTTTGATCTGACCAGTTCAAAGCATCTTGTTGACTTGTAAAAACTGGCAAAAATTGGCAGAGTTAGTTGCATTATTATTAACCAGCTAATAGGAATGTCTTCAACAAATATTCATTTTTCTGAACCATTTACCCATCAACTGATTTCTAAACTTCAAATCTGGAATTTTCTCATTCTGCCTTTTCAGACAAGCCAAGCGTTTCTTTATAAACAACGGTTCCAATCTAAACTGTATCTTTGCGAAAACATATGATAGAAGTTTAGCTCAAATAAGACAGTTTGATTGTGCTTTTACCAATATGTAATATACTTCGATTAAAGAAATAAAACAATTCTTGAAACAACACTGTCTGATTATTTTCATAAGAACAAATAGGGATGCAACAAACCCAAACGTTTTGGGTTTGGTACTATTGGGTTTGAATTTGAAATTAGATTTGGATTTGATTTGGATTCGGGTTTGGATTTGGATTTGTAGTCTAGGTTTGGATTTGGTTTGGATTTGATCATCATTGGACAAAATTCCAAAGGATTTGGTAAGATACGGTGTTACAAACAACAGTCTACTCTACTAGGCATAAGGTAAAAGCAAAAAAAGATATTAGAATTCAGCCTCAAACCGTTTGTGTTTGGATTTGGATTCGGTCCTACATGTCAAAATATTTTTCTGATTCTACTCCACCTCTAGTACAGTAGACTGTTGTTAATGACACCATATCTTACCAAATTCTTTGGAATTTGGTCAATAATGACCAAATCCAAATCTATCTCAAGATTTGTTGCATCCCTAAGAACAAATAAAACTTATTCTCAACAAGCTTTATCAGTAAAAAATGGAATATCTATCAAATATTTTCCAATTGGTAAAATTTGCTGAAGACCGAACCTGTTACATCTCTACCCAACTCCTCTCCTGCTCTCACGACCTCTCATATTAGAAAATATTATGTAAGACATATGCTTATAGAAGAGATAATATAGCTGAAGAAATTAATGTTCAAATACCGTTCGTGAAGCTGTGTACAATAGCTATGACAGAAATGGGTTCTGATTGAAAAACACATTTGTGTAAAGAAAATTGATAGTCAAGGTATGACTTTGTTTACGTACTATGAGCAACTCAAGTATCAAGCATTGAAAATTAATAACAATGAGACCACTCTAATTGAATCCATTAAAAGGTATAATACAGATGTGATGTGTAATAACAGATAAACATAACTTGAAACTTTATCTCGCACTTTTTTATCCGAAGGAAAAGACAACTTTCATGTCACTGATGTTTCGAACAACAATTTAGAAAAAAAATATATGCCCCGGGTGAGGATCGAACTCACGACCTTCAGATTATGAGACTGACGCTCTACCGACTGAGCCACCGCGGCGGCACTAATCAATAAAGAGTTCGACGCTTAGAGAGTTTCACATTCAATAACAATTCTAGTATAATTATTTTAGAAAAAGACAAAATACACAACTGATTTAAAAAGCAAAAGATTTTTTCACTTTCTCAAGTCGTCTGATAGCAAAGAAAAAAAATCATAAACTATAACCGATCATCTCTTAAATTATAATCAGATGGCGCTAGTGTCCTCGAACAAATCATTTCATGCGATTCAGTTTTTAATGTTTTTAACATGATGAAATTCAAGTGTTTATTATTTAACATCGAACAGAAAAATTTTACAACAAAAAAAAATATATCTTTTATAATTAATAGCTATCATCTTCATCATCTGCTTGATTATCAGCATTCATTTTTTTAATTTTTTCTTGTCTACGATAAAGATCAGCAACTTGTTCAGCACTTGTTGCATCTTCAACTGATTTATCTTCTCTTTCACGTAAAAATCGAGGAAAACGAAGAGATATTCCTTTTCCTTCATCAACCTAAATATCCGAAAAAAACGAAAATTCAAAATCAAATCGAAATTCTTTACTCACAAGACCAATAGCTGCATGATGATTAGGTGATAAAGATAAATCAGCACATTTTATTTCCCAAACTTTAATTGCATCAAACCAAACATCCGGTTCTAATGATGAAGAATAACGATAATAAGCCAATGGTTTTGGTATTATATGTGTTTCTAAGGATTTACCAAGTGAAACAAGTAATTCATCAGTAAATCCAGTGCCTAACTACAATCAATCATATTTAAATATATTTTCAAATAATATTTTTTTGAAAAAACAAAAACTCACTTTACAAATACATTGATATTCTTCATTATCTTTATCATAACATGCTAATAAATATCCTCCATAAACACCGGTTCGTTTACCTTATAAAACAAAAACTAAATCAATATACAACAAAATTATAGAGAAAAAAAGAAAACCAACCTGTGCCTGTATAAGCACCAATAACAACTAGATCAAGTGTATCACCAACACCATCAAGATAATCTTTTTTCAACTAAATAAAAATAAATAAATAAAAATATTCTCTTTTTTTAATTTTAAAAATTACTTTAAGCCATTTATGTGATCTCTTAGCTATTTCATAAGTTGCATCATCATCTAATGTTTTAACCATAAGACCTTCACAACCATCTTTAACTGATTGTTCCAAATACATATTTATTTCATCAATATTTGATGCTGTACGTGATTCAGCAAAAACAAGTTCACCAGGTATACAACGAATTGATTCATGTAATAAACGACGACGTTCACGAAAAGGTTTTTCAACCAATGATTCACCATTTAAATATAATAAATCAAATGCAAATATACAAACTAAATATAAAAAATATTTTATCCAAACAGTTCATTTCAAACAGTAAAACAAACCTTGAACTTTTATCTCTTTTATATCAGCATCCTTAAAAACGAAATAAAAATAATAAAATCATATTTTAACTTGAAAAAAATCTTCAGAATACAATTCAATTGAGAAGTATAGTAATAGAATCATCAATTCTCAAAGTACTCATTTTTCAATACATTTACAGTTCTTGATTATCAGGGAGTTTCCTCTCTTCAAATCATCTGACAACTTTTTTTACAGCTTCATGTTGACTTTGGACAGAAATCGAATTTTGAAAGAAACACCCTCAGAAGAGATACGGTCTGGTGGCAGTGTCGGCTAATGATGGTCTCCTTCTTTATTTCCCTTATCACTACTTCAAGCGGTTCGGAAATGCTCTGAAATAAAATTTAAAAAAAACGCTGAGTACCAGCACGAATGCATCACTGATACTATTTCTCATTTGAGAATCAATAAATCTAACGAGTAAATATTCCGTTTAGTATGAAACAAGAAAATAATCATTTTAAATGTATCTCGAAATGAAGATATACTTAAATTAAAAGTTCATCGGATAAAATATGCGACACTCGTAAATCTTTCAAAATGTTTTGTACCGTTATAATGATCTACTTCGCACACCATACACTTATAGAGATGCTTTGAACAACCAATGACTCAAATTAAAATGAATCAGTCTTGTTTTAAGTATCTTTCGATTTAGATCAGACATAATTTGGAGAGATTTACTTGAATTACTCTCGTTTCTTCCTGTATAAATCTCAAAACACTTGTATTAAAGTTCTAGTAGAAAGAGCAACAAAACTTCATAATTCAAGTGTAGTAAATTGCTCTAAGATTAATTTTGAAACAGTCTCCTATAGACATATACATTTATTTAACTATACTAAACATATTTTTTTTACTAAAAATTCAATTAAATAACCTTTTTTTCTGACGAGAAGTGTTTTGAAAAATCTCTTATTCAAAGATAAAAATTGAAATTACTTTTCGTTTTCTCGTTGATAATGTTTGAAATGGTAATAATTTCTTCTGTTCAATATCATAAGCAACACATTCACCATCCAAAATTAAGGATTTAACATGTGATTGAAATGCATTATGAATTCGTTCAATAATATCTGGATATTTCGATGTATTATTTTCTGAATTTCTTGAATAAATATAAATTTTTCCATCTTCAGTTAAATGAATCTATAAGCAAATTTTTTTTTCTTCAAAATTCTTTCAAAAATTCATTTTTTTTTCTTACTTGTGCACGTTCTCCATCATATTTATATTCACAAGCAAATTCACTTTGTCCACAACGTTTTAATATTTCATCAATACCTTTCGATGGATGTGCTAACATTGGTTTCATTGGTATACCAGGCGTAGCTTTACATAAATCTTTTAATTTATCAATTCCACCTTTATTAACAAGTACATCAACAAGTATATCATATGATGGACATTGACAAAAACCATCTTTAACAGC